AGCTCAGGGCAGGCGATGCTGGATTGCACACCTCGAGAGCCACGCCAAAAGGAACAAGATGAAACATTCTCAGTGCAAATGTTTACTCAGCTCTAAGAAAATGGGCCCCTGACCAAACCTCAGAGAGTGAGAGCACTCTGGCCCTGCGGGCAGCAGAGAGTAGAGACTGGCAGGCAAATCCCCAGAGCTCCCTCCTTGCCCTGGCAAAGCCACCCAAGGAGCAAAGGCCAGCTGGTGTGTCTGGGCTAAGGCTGATTGTGCCAAACACACAGCAACAGCTCAAGAGAGGAAATCTTCATGGCAAATTCTACCCTATGCTATCAGCTATGTTTCATCAGCTGTGATCACAAGTATGAAGAAATGCCTTTACTTTCACCTCTCCCTCTGTTATTGTTTGGGGTTTTTCAGCTATGGAAAGATCTTTTGCAATGCTTTGAAATCTGATTAAAAATTAGGAAGGGTTTGGGATTTTGTTATTGTAGGGGGGTAAAACAACAAGACTAGCTTCCCACATCCTCTCCCTTCACGTCCCTGACACATTCCACACCCATGCAGTAACGCCTTTTAACCAAAACCAGCAGGTCGCGATATGCCAGCACAGTTCCCAGTCTCAGTGTTGTTACTTTATTGCTTCATGCATTGCCCACACATGCACAGCCTTATCAAAGGCCAAGGCAGCCACACACCCAGTTTCTATAGCCCCCGCCTGCTTCGTATCCAAGGAAATAAAATACACAAGACGGAAACAATGACATCACTCTGCAAGAATAAGGATGAGCACAGGACAGACACTTTTAAGAAACTTTGGGAAGACAGAAGTGGTTGTCTGTTTCTCTCATCCTAAAAGTACCCTGAGTCACCCTCAGAGCTCCTCCAGCTGCTAACCTCTGTCTGAAGGTTATTTCTATTAAAAAAAAAAAATCCTTATGTTTGAAAGCCCTTACTTTTTGTGATTAAGAAGAGCTGCACTATCCATCTCGAACCAAGAGTGCTCACTGACACTGTCCAGGTCTGATGTTAATACTTGTGCCTTATTGCAAAGCGTATACCTAGCCTTCAGGAAGCTGGACAAGTTTTTGGAGACAGTCTGGGTATTGAGTGCCACTGAAGCCAGACTCTCTCAGCTCTTTCTCTACATTAGCTCACTCAGCAAGAAAAAGAGACCTGGACCTCACTGGCATCTGTGTCTTACAAAAAACCCCAAGACAAAACAAAAATACCCAAACAAACAAAAAACCAAAACAGACCCCAGGTCTGACAAGACCTGGCACAATCAGAGGATACAGAGTTTTATTGTTTATTTTACCAAGAGGCGATACAGCCCCTTGGGTACAGATTTTACTGCATGGCCCAAGATCACCAGAGGGCACGGATGACTTGATGTTGTGCTGGTCTCTGGTCAGTATCATAAGCATTAAAATTACCTTAGTCACCAAGTAACTTGTTCTCTCTTGCTGTGACCACTTTTCTCAAGAGACATTAAGCAGAAGGGAGAAGCAGACATGTTATTTTAGTCTTTCCCACTATAAAAAGGAGGAAAAGATCTTGATGGGAAAATGCCACTGAGCAATCAGCCCTAGGGTCTGGGTTATAAGTGCAAGTGAACTAACTGAGTAAATATGCTAAGAAGACTGTCATTTCCTTCCTCTAATGTTGCCATGGGCACCAAAACAAAGCTAGCTGCTGAGCCATCAACACCAACAAGCTGCTGCACCTTTTGATGAAATGCAATTTTGTCATCACTCTTGCCTCAGTTTAAATTAATGCAGAAGGATAAGGATAATGGCAATGAAATAATACTAAGACTGTAGCTCTTCCATGGGCAGAGATCGGCTTAGACAATGAAGTCAGTATTTGGACTCTGGACTCAGGGGAATGCATGGGAGGTTGTAGAATGCCTTTTTATTTTCCAAAGGCAAATAAAAGTATCTTGAACATACATTCCAAGTAAGGGAAAACACTTCCACAGGCATGACGCAGCACGTCACCAAATATCAGCCTCCAAAAGGATTACACCAGTAAACAGAGCATTTCAAATGGGGCAAAAAATGTGTAAGAAGGGATCTTAAAATACGTAGCTAGTCTCAGACAAGCTCTTAAGCACTGGCTCCTGAGGCAAAATGAAAATTAAGTTATTTTGCAAATTTTTTTGCAAAGATCTAGCAGGTACATCAGTAAAACAGGAAGACAAAAAGAAGGTGGACAAGCATGAAAAATGTCTAAGATACCAAAGGTAGGAGACACAACATCTAACAAACTAATTCTAAGAAAGATGGTAATATATCTGAATAAGTCATTTTCTACAGCAAGGGTTTTAAAGACTTTTTTTTGAGCCTGAAGTAAGGCTCTTCACAGGTATGATTTTATGTCTGCATTCGAAGGACTATGGGCAAAGCCAATGAGAATGTTGTCAGAGGACCCTGGACCAGGACTTGAACAAACCGCTTGGACTCAGCACGTCCTATTTTCTTTGGTAAGTGAATTAATAAGTATTCTGCTCTAGACTGTTGCCAAGAAAAGCAAATAGACTGTTTTCACTGGCCAGCAAGTCAAAAAACCTGAACAGCTCAGCTTTGCCTTCGAAGATTCCGCTCTACTCACAGCTTCAACCAGTTCTGCTGGAAAAATGATATCAGCACCTTTGTGGCAAAATTTATAGCAATTTGCCACGTTGGTATACATACACATAGCATTTTCTGCACTCTGCTACTGCTGATTTGCAGCAGGCCTGGCCAAAACCTCCGATATGCTGCAAAGACACAGCCCCAGAGTGACTTGGCCAACACTTGCCACATGTTCTGTCAGGAATCAGCATGATCCTCTGATTTCATGTTCCAAGCAGGAAGACCTCACACAAAACTTACTTGCTGTAGTCAGCTACTGAAAAAGGAAATGGGAAAAACCCCCAAACAATCCACCAAACCAAAAGCCCCACAACCTTACAACTTGATGGTATTCCTGACACTTCAGTACAGCAGATTAGGATGTTCAGGGACTGCTATGCCTTAAAAGTAAATAAGAGCTTGTGGTTTGGAGACATGATGCATCTCCCCTCATACTGCTGAATTCCTGTCTGAGTATGCAGCAAACGAAGCCCTTTAAAACTAAGCCCAGTGCTCTGAACAGCAGCAAGCTCCACTTACAAACACAACTGAAAATGATTTAATCTGCTTTAATCTAAAGGAAGGGAATAAGAAAAGGCAAGACTTCTGTGAGTTAAAATGTTCCTTTCACACCAGGAAATAACTGTTCTAGCATCAGCCATCAAAGGGGTCAAAGCCTAATTTTCAGACAACCATTGATTCTTAGCACAAGATTAGGACAATGGTCACTGCTCAGAGAGAAGCTCTGTAACAAGAATTTCTCCACACTCAGTTGTGCATCAAATTGTCCTCAATTCAGTTATAGGCTGCTACCAGTAAATTCAGTAGTACTATACTTACAAACTAGAAGTATCAGGATATCTATCCAGGGGCTACAGCTAGAACCAGGACTAAGACTGAGGTTAGGGTTTAGGAGGGGATGTTTTCCACCACCAGCATTACTGCTAAATCCTGACCATCTATCCAGGCTGGACTGGGGGAAAAAATGTGGTGGGGCAGTGAGTGACAGGGAGGCTGCAGCAGTGGGTTTCTTGCTGCAATTAACGAAAATTAGCAAGCTACTTTAAAATCCTGCTTAGGGCACGTGTTGTGCCATATGTTTAATTTTATGGCATTTAGCTAAATTCTTGCTAATGGCTGCATTGGGAAATTGGTCTCTAGGATTGAGTCTCCTGCTGAATTAAATGACAGCTCTCTGCATCCTTGCAGCAAAGCCCCAGAGGAGACTCGGCCTCACTCCTTTGGCAACAGACAGCCCTCAAGTCTCAAGGCTGAAGCAGAGCCTTTCCAAATGGGCAGCAGAAGACACTGACCAGACCTCAGCTCAATAGTGTCACAGACAGGTGTCACCACATGGCTCCAGCTCAAACCAAGTCCAAATGGCTCAGTCTCACACTTTGCCTTGGCAGAGTTATGAAATACCCGGAGAACGCTGCATGGAATTCTTGGGCCAAGCAACACAGAGAAACTTGATGAGAAAGAGAACATGGACAAATCCTAGGCCAAGGTCTGGGCAGGGTGTTGCTGCACATGTGCTGCTTTAGATTCAGGTCCTTTCCAACCAAAACAGCCATGTTAGTGCTGAATTAATTGCAGAGTCAAACTAGTTTTATAATCTACTATTTTGCTAGAAAGACTCACGTGGGATGTGTGCTTGTGCCAGAATCCACCGGGGCCACGTCACTGCCCCAGTGAAAATCCACAGGAATGCCACTGATTTTAGTGTAGTTATTACATATTTTTTTCAGTGTAATCCTCTAAATCTAGGCCAGGCAATGCCCTTGCACAGATTGCTGTTATTACTATATTTACTTGACAGAGGAAGCAGACCAATGAAGAAAGGCTGTCAGCAGGTTACAAAACCAACTTCCTAGACAGAGGCTGCATGATCTGCCACACAGATAAAAATGTAAGATGCTGGTGTATTTCTCTTCCACTTTCTCCACAGCTAGACTGCTAAGAGCTTACTGAGTAAGAGAAAAAAATCCAAACCAAACCAACAGGAAACACTGAGTGAATAATATTCCTCACCCCTCAAATCTTCTCTATCCATGAAAACCAATTGGCTTAGCACAGTAGCAATGATTTACTGAGCCACATCTCTACAGTGCGTCCCATGCCCTGTGGTAGGTGTGAGCATGCACATGGCAGGAGACACCCCTGACCCAAGCAGGTTACTTTTGGTACCCAGTTAGCTCTCCACAGCAGCAGGCTTCTCACCACAAGAGAGGGAGTCTGTCTCTCAAGGCCTCCAAGGAGCACATGATCTCTTGATAGTATGGGCATGATGTTACCCCCAACATGATTAACAGAGTAGTGTATGTTCAGCTCCTTGAAGGATCGGGCTCAGAACTTCTCTCACAGGAATAAGAGGGAACAAGAGCAGACAGGACTTACCTGTGGCTCAGAGGCCAGATTCATCTTATAAGGATGTGTCTTTCCCTCCTCGCTTACAAGTGGTGACCAGACTTTTGCCTCCGTTCTGCAACACAGAAATTTTGAATCGTTAATCTGTTTCCATCAGTGAACACCACTAATATCATTATAAGACTCAGAGTTCATCAATTCCACAAACATTTCTGCAGTCTCTCATATGTAGCACAATCCACATCAGGAGGAATCTAGACAGCCTCATTTTAGGTACACAACATAGATGGCTTAGATATGTGAGGTCCTTGGAGCAAGACGAGATCTCAGCAGTGACTGAGCTTATCCTGTGTGACTCCACAGGCAACACATCAGGCATGGGCTCCCACCCAGGCTGTCAAGCTGGGGGGTAGCCAAAAGCAGAAGCTGGAGATATCCCTTAGATGCAGATCCCTTAATTAAGTGGACAATTAAGATTGCTGTGTGTTTCAGCTTTTCTGGGTAGCCTGGAAAAGGAATGATTCTTGTCTGTATTCACTGTACAGAGAACATTTTGTTCTTGAGGTTGGACTGCCCTGGAGATAAACTAGAAATATTTTTTCATTTGAGTCTCCCAGATTTTCTTCTTATTTATAGTGGTATCCATGTTGAACAAACAGAAGCTTTTTGGAATGATGAGAAAAAAAATAAAATCCCCGCCTGCAATGGGACTAAGAATTGAGATGACCTAATGTGACAGAGAAAGTCTACGTAACCTTTACTGCTCTGTGGTCTGACCCAATTACTCATAGTAGTCTGAAACACAAGTCAAGATCTGCAACTAAAACCAACTGCTTTTGCCATCATCATTGTGGAATTTTGCTATGTCCCAAAGAATGACAAACCACTGGTAAGGAAGAAGTGGAGTGTTTGGATTTGCTTGAAATACATGGTGGGAAACATATGGTACCTACATTTCTCAGAAGTAAAGACAGTAGTTAGCATCTCAGATGGATTAAACAGTGCCACTTTTCCCAAACTTTTAATAGTAGGGAATGAGTGACTGCAGCACTGTTGAATGAAAACTGCTGTTCAATGCTAAACACTGCATCATGCAGCAACCAGATGGCTGATAAACTCTTAGGATGAGATCTGAAGACCATGTCCTGTCCTGTTGACAGGTGCCCTTTCTGGAATCTGGAACTGCAAATAGATGGACTTCCTAGGTATTTGTGGGTCAAGGACTAGCTATAATTTAAGTACTTTGTTAGCAAAACAGGAATGTTTCCACTGAGAATTAACTGGATAACTGGAAAGAGATTTTCCAGTTAAAGAAGAAGGAAGAGACTAGAAAAAGAAAAGGCTTCTAAAACTGACAAGGATGGATAAACAGGGTATAGAGCTACCCACAATATGTTCAGCCTGGTGTGCACTATTCCTCTATAAGCCCTCCAAAGTCACCTGAGATGCACATATACATTCCAGATATTTGCTCCATAAATAGTATTTTAATATTTGCATTCAGAGGACAGTGGGAAGAGATGAGAAGCAGCATTCTCAGTCAGGAAAGAGGAAGAGCTTTATTGACCTGCTGCTCCCTTTATTGCACTGTGGACTTCAAAGAGAAGAAACCTGAATGAAGTCTGCTGTGCTGTACCTCCTTTCACAGGAAAAGTACAAACACCTAGGTTACACCTGATATCTTTTATGAGTAATTCAGGTATAGCAAACCTTTGACTCTTGGTTATTGCCTCCAAGCCCAGCTGATATCTGACAACCCATGCCACTCAGATGCTGCAGTCTGGCAAGCTGGGGCACAAGCAGACAAGTATGACTGTAACAGCTGCATGGTATCAGATCCACACCAATCTGGTCATCACCTTATCACAAAGGCTGCTGTTACTGGATGTCCAACATGCCTCAGGTGAATACAAAACAACCATTCTCTCCTTGCTTCTGGCAATTTGTGCTTTTAGATGCCTGAGGAAACAGTAATTTCACCCAGTTTATGGCTACTGAGCCTCACAAAGCCACACCCATGTCCAGGATGGTTTTATTTTCCACACCTGAAGACTGTTTGCACATAGGGGAGCAGCCTGCTGACCAATACAAAGCCTTAATCCTTGAAAGTGTTTGGAGAACATGTATGACCAAGTTTCATCTCCTCCGGAAAAACAGTGGACACAGCAAAGTATATGGAAATGAGACACCCAGCCAGCCAGGCTATAAACAAAGGGACACTGGCTGGAGATGAAAGAGCAGCTCAGAGAGCATTAAACACTTCAGCTGATTTCTAGCATGAGGCATCTCTGTGCCAGTTCTCGCAGCAGTGATCCAAGAACTTTTGAGGTAGCATTTTCTTTTACAGCAGTTTATTATAAGCTTTTAGAAGCACAAGAAGAAATTCACATTGAAAAATTTAAGCCTAGAGCAGGCCAGTGTATGAATACAGAACAGAAACTTCCCCTCAGGCATTTGCTTTCATCCCAGTGCCCCTCAATCTGTCTGAGGTGCTGGTGACACAGCACACTGGTCTCCAGAGGAGGGGAGGCAATTATGTCCAGCTACTGCAGCCCACAGGGAGTTTGACCAAATTTTTCTTCTTTATTTATAAGCAAGGCAAATAGCTCAAGTTTGTTCCCCAGACTGCTGCCATTCTGCTCTGTCACTGGATAAAAATGGAAGCAGCAAGGTCACTCCAAGCTTTACTTTCAATCCAGTCTAGAAGTTATCCAAACAGAAATGTTAAATAGGCCATGCATCTGCCCCTCTCAGGCAGGGAAGATAAAGCTTCCCTTTGTCTTCACAACAGCTGCAAAAGAGCCCCTCAGCCACTCTCAGCAACGCATTTATGGCCCCAGTGAAGCGGCAAAAAGGACACAGCTTTGCTCTCCCTGCCTTTACCCAGCAGATCTTTCAAGGCAGGTGCCCCATCCCACTGCACTAGCCATGGAGCCCACGGTCTCTGGGTCTTAGGTAGGACCACGATGATCCCAGCTCTTGGGAAGGGTTTCCTGGCACTGCTTCTTGTGTCAATGCCTGTAATTCTACTGGTGTGGCAGGAGGAAGAAAAATACCACCTAAAAATACATCTTATGTCCCACTGCTGGCCCAGGGCTTACTTTCTGCAGTGTTGGAAGTGTGGGCACCAGGCACAAACAGCAGGGCAGATTAGACTCGCTATGTTTGTATCTTATCCATGTTTTCATACCTCAGTTATATGAAGGAGGGAACAGGTGTCAGAGCAGACAGCTAAATCCAGCCTTGGTAACAGTACCTTCAGTTCACACCAGGCTGCTGCTGGTAATGGCTTTCTGGATCATTTGTTCCCAAAATTTGAGGGAGAAGGCCCCCAGCCGAAAAAAACAGCTCCATGCTCCCCTCAGCAAGGCTGTACCCCTGCCACTGAGTGTGGCCATGCTAGCAGGGCTGCCAGACCTGCCTCTCTACACTGGTGGAGGGGTTGGATGTCCAACAGTCTGCTGGGGAATCCCACCCTGTCTGGTGAAAGCCAGACGCTTTGGCATCCTTATCGGATCTCACAAACTCCTGATAAGCTGATGAATATTTATATCATAGTGTGGTTTCTAGTGCATATTCTTTCAAATGAGACTTCAACAGAGAGCAACACTCAAATGGTGCAGGAGACAAAAACCATGACATGAACAAGCTTGAGAATGAGGGTCAGGCAAATTAACTGCAGGCTTATGTTTTTGCAGTTTACATTTCCATGTTGTTTCCTTACTACAGGATAGAGAGTAACTAAGGACCAGGGAATGAGCCATGCATCTCCTGTTTTATCCAGGCAGAAACAAAAACCCAGGATCAGAAAGAAATTTCTCTGATGCTAGTTTGGATGCAGAGGTACTGGTAGGAAAAGAAGGAAGGAAACCACATGCAAGTTAAGGCAGGAATATGGAGAGGTATTTTTGAAACAACATTTTTCAAGCAGCTTGGCTTGAACATGATGTAATATAAACATTACAAGAGCCTGGATTTTGCTATCAGTGCTTTGCATGCAAAGTTGGGCCATAGCTTCAAGGGAAAATTCAGAGCTGGAAAATGAGGGTCTAATTCTTTGTGCCAGGAACTGTGTAATTTCCACAAAGACGAAAGGCACATCTACATTCATTTACATCTCATTTCAAACACTGAGATGGACAAAAGTAAGATACCAAGTAGCACATAAACCTCAAAAGACTGGAAAGCTTCTTGCACAGCACAAAGTTTTTTAGTTGAAAAATAAGGAAAGACCTAAACAATTTATTTTTGACAATCCTCTCACCAGAGTTTTCGATGGGCATTTTAATGTTTAGAAACTAATGACAAGAGCTCTCAGACTACCAGGAAGGTACCTTTTAATCAGCCCTTTAGCTACAACAGCTGTCAAATACAGGCCCTTGGCTTTAAACATGACTAGCCACTTTTAACAACCATCCACTAACGGACATATTCAGCTTGGCAAGCAAAACTGTACTCGGGCTGCCTACAGCCTCCTGTCAATTCAAACAGCAATGACAGTCACAACTTCCTAGAGACACGAGGCCCCAGATGCATTTCTCCATGCATGGCCCTCTTGCATTTCAAGTGTCTCCTTATACAACCACTAAAACCAAAAAGGCAATTCTGATTAAACTTCTGTTGCTTCTTCTGTGTATCTGAAGCAGGTTCATGACAGCTACAAAGGCTAAGACACACTTGACTGCTCAGACTCACACTGTTCTGGCACCAGCCAGCTGCAGAGTTAACTGTTACTGTCAAAGAGATGTAAAATCACTGCAAATGCCAATCTTGATTTGCCAAAATTACTTTGAATGTTGTTAGTAAAAGCTGTTGGCATGCACCTGTGAGGGCTGGAAGCACCACACTGGCCATGGAGAGGTTGGGAACAGCCACAGAGGGCCAGGCAACCTGCATGGCCTTATATAGCTGCACACTGAGCAGCTGGCTTCTCCCAGGGCCAAAGGAATTATTAGTAAATGACAGAACTGGAAAACTCTTCTTGGCAGGGAAGCAAAAAAGCAAACATAAATGAGTCAATGGATTCCACCAACTTCCTAGAAAAGAAATTCAAGCCTATTGTGGCTTTGTGCAACTATTCCCCACAGCTCAGACCTGGGAACACACAGAGAAAGCAAGAGTACAACCAAACCTACCACATAAAATGTAAAGGACGGGACACATGTGCTCTCTTCTCCATAAGTATCTACACATGATCCTTTCTGACAATCCATTTAACAGGTCCTGGTATCAGATCTGACCTCCCTGATCCTACCACTAGTCAAACAACACATACATAGCTTAACTCCTTGGCAGCAGTTTCAACAAATCAAAAGACTATTTTGCAAACAAAAGAGGCGCATTAATGTATTATAAGCTGGCAGCAGAGTGGCTTGAAATTTGAGGAAAATGACAGTAGGAGCAGAACAAAACATTACATATTTGCAACCCTTTTTCACAAATATTCCCCTCTATCACCCCCAAACTGCCTCCAGACATAAACGGAAGGACAGACTCACTACAGGAACACTTAATTTGTTGAAAAACAACCCTATATAAATATACACTTTACCTCCAAGTTGCTCAGGGCTACACAGTTCCACCACCCATCTGGTGACTACAGCCACAGGCAAAGATCCATTTGTTTTAGAAATAATTTTCACCTGTGCTGCAATGAACACTTGTCTGCTTTTGTACATCTGCAGCTACAACAGAGCTGTGTGTCAAATCCATCATGAGCACTTCCACTGACATGGGTGATACCTGGGTTGTTTGACTATCATGTGAATTTTATGGTAGGAGTATTTGTTCCTCCTGCACCTTATTTTCTTTGAATGTTCTTTGTCAGGGGAAGCATCTTACTCAAAATACACTAAATTTCCAAAGAAAGTTGATAGTTGTCTCCAATTTGTCAGACACATCTTGCTGCTTATGCCCATTAATGGAGAGCAGCCCCAGGCGAGGCTTTGCTGAACCCTAACATGTCAGTGCAGTCATGTTCACATCCTAATTTGAAAAAAAAAATCATCAGGAAAAAGAAGTGTAGCTCTTCTCAAAGATTCAAAACTTCATTTTTCCTATAGAAAGGCTCAAAAAATCTCTCTGTGAATTTCTCAGTTCAGCAACCAGGTAGGCTTGAGTTGACTGAAGCACTGTCTTGAGATTGATTTTATACTGCTGAAGACCATAATGGAACCTTTACTTTGGTTTCTTGGTAACTACACTTCTCTTGAAACAAAAAGCAAAATGAATGAACAGAGGCTCGGAAAAGAGTGGGAGCTGCTAGACACAGTGAATTCAGTGGGAATTTGTTATCTATGGCAACATTGTTGAACACCCACTTTCCAGGTAGAAGACAGACCTTTCCAACTCTGTTCACAAATCAAACAGCAAAGCACCTGGCACTGCCACTCAGTATTCAGAGAAAGCAATTTGTAGCTCGGTCTTAAATCCTAGGAAATTAAGAGATTTGCCCCTTTGGGTGAAAAAGCAGACCAGGCATGTTTTCTTCAGCTAGAAAGTTGATACGTTTTTAATGGTGACTTGTGTTAGACGAGATTTCCTGCCTACAATCTGATCTGAAATATTTTTGGACTGTTACCATCACTAAGAAAAATAGCGAAACAGGAAACATTGGAATGCTGTTGATATACACAATCAAGCATACAGTGCAAACAGCATTTCCTTTACCAGAAGCGTTTTTCAATTCTCTATATTTACACTTCTCTTAAATAATCATTAGTAAGCCAAACATGAAGACATCCTAACTGCTTGGCTATCATTAAAAGAGAAGAGAGTTGCCTATTTGAAGAATACACATGTATAAAGCCTGTTTTGAGAAAAGAAGAGCACATGAAAAAGACAAGCATAATACTTACATGAAACACTCTCCTAGCTTCGAGCTACTTGCAGCTTAAAGGCTTTCTACAGCAAAGATACCTCCATTGTATATATTATCCCTTAAAGATTTGTCTTGCACTAATTTGCCCACTAGGCTCTTCAAACCACATGCTAACATTTATAGCACAGTCACAAATGAAGTCTCCACTGTCACAATCGTGCTGATCCTTTGATGAAACTGAAACACCTGGTGTGAGCTCAGACCTGTGTCTCAAATCCACCTGTCACAACCTTGTTGCCACACTAAATGCAGGTCAGAGAATATTTAGCATGGGTAATCATTTAAATAAGTAACCATTAAAAATTCATCAGCTAGCAATTTAAAAATCAATAAGGATTTGTGGTTTCACAAGACATCTCTCCAACGGTGAGTAGAAAAGAAGGAGTAGAAGACTTCTCACTCCAGAAAACCTAGCACAGCTGGGCACATCCTCACACCAGCTGTGTGATGTTCCAACCCACAGAGGTGTTGCTCTGTCAGAACAACAACCTGTGCCAGCACAGCTCCTTGGCAAAACTGATTCAGCTACAACTGCACAGAGTGGAGACCAGAACCAAGAGTTGGTGGTGCTGCAGTGCAAGTGATATACATTCCTTTTCGTACTCAGCTAACTACTTACAGAATTACTTTGACAGAGAAAAAACTTCCAGCTCTGACTTTGATTGTATTGTGAGCCTTCCTTGCCAGCTGTATGATAAGTCTAAGTGACAGAGCTGTGCCCACCAAAGCTCAGGAAGCCCAAGCCATACCACTTGCCCAGGTGGCACTCATTTTCCCCAAGAGCCTTCCAACCTCTCCACCTCTGTGGCCATGCCCTTCCCTTCTTCATGGAAGAGGGCTCACCACCACATCAGTGCGCTTTCCTCACCCACTTCCCCTACCTTAAGTTGAGCAGGAAGATGCAGCATGGCTCCAGGTATTTTAAAATGCTTTCTGTCACCTCTCTAGGCATCATCTCAAGACCTTTCCTTTTAAGGCCTTAGGTTGCAAAGTAAAGAAGTGCTCCTGCCTCAGCAATAGAGACTACGTAGCACTTCTGACCACTGTGTGAAACTGCATTTAGACCAACATAATTATGGGGGCCTAGAAGGAGACACTGGGCCTTAGGAATAAAATATTCTCAACACAGTACAACCAGGAAAGACAACATGATGCACACATATCTTCCATAGAGCAACAGGTAGTAATATCAAACTCTAAAGTGGTATGAAGTCAGATCATTGCTTTCACATCCTTGCAGTTTTTACACTCTTCTTGGCCTTCTGTCAGCAGATCTCAGTGATCAGTACAGCAGCAGAAGCATCTAACACACACTCATGCTACCTCATTGAAAGAGGGTCTTGAAAGAGTTGAGTTGTGTAAACTGAAAGCCCCTACACAATTTTACATAGCTGCAGATCCAGCTAGAAATCTCTCCCTGGGCAGCTTCCACGCCCAAGGCCAATGAAATGTGCATAGGGTAGCTATAAACTTAACGACTTTGTAATTAACATTAGCAAACACATTTTACAGACTCAATGATCTGTAAGAGTGAACTTGCCTGCAGGCTGAAAGAGCCCTTGCCTCCCCTTCCTCTTTCCCAGCCAGAACCATATGGCACTGGTTTGCCAAGTCAAGCAGCTGGATTTTGGAGAGGAAAAGGAACACTCCTTTGCAGGAACATTACATGCTGCTAAGTTCAAGGCCAGTATGAGAAACTCTGGGGTTAACAGGCTGCTGCAATGCTCACTACCCATTCACACTGCCTGCACTGTGCTCTGCTCTTCCATCTGCGAATTCCCTTAATGAACCGTCAGGAATTTTTTTTGGCCAAGACCCATCACTTCTTCCTGAACTGGGAAATGCCTGCTCAACTCCTGGCATTGTCTGAGCCACGGTAAAGACTTCTGTTTATCAGAGAAAAGTCCTGAACAACTGAACTACTGTGTCATTTAAGGCATGCTTTTGCACTCCTTTTGAAAGCACTTCCCCTGCATCTGCCATGAAACTGATGGATGATCACTCTGAGGGAAGGCAGGCACAGGAAAAACTTGCTCCAGAGCAACTAGAAATGCCACACTGCATCTACCATCTGACTTTGAAAAGTGTCAGTACCTGCAGCTGCAATTCACACCAAAAGAAGGATAAATCCCCAGCATCCTCAAAAAAACCAGGCTCCAGTTCTTTTAAGTAGCAACAGGTCAAGCAGAGCCCTGCCTTCCCATCTCTATTTCGTCTCTATACAAAGATGGTCCCATGGCTGGGGAAAGGAATGAAGTTGTCCATTGCTCCACAGTTCAAGATGGTGGGAAGGCTGAAGCCAGCCTGTGCTCTACACTAGTGACAGAAATTGTGGCTCAGCTGTCACCTGCCTTTAGTTTCTCAGGACTTGGAGAGACTGATGCCTAAGAGGAACTTCGTTGCACCCTGGGTCATCACTGTTTAAGATTGACAGTGCTGTTTGATCAAGAGGCTTCAAAATGTACAACATTTCTGAGTCTGTGCTTGGCAGAAAGCAGGCAATTAATTGCTTGGAACAACATACAGGCCTATATTTTAATTGCTAAATGAGTGCAACAGAAAGGAAGGTCATCTCTGGTTGCACCTTCTCTGCCACGAGTGAAGTTTTCATGAGACCATCTTTGGTTTCTTGCTGTCAGGAGCCACAGAGTAAGCTGACAGACCCTGCCATAAATTATCAGCCAGTTCCTCACTTGGAAAGTTGTTTTCCGAAGGTCAAAGTTCAGCAAATGCAAGCAGCATTAGGATTAAAGGATGAAATGCAATTCCCTCTTGCTAGCCAGCACCTGCCAAACAAAGTACTAAGAGGTCAAATTAAACCAGTCAAACTAAAACACAGCTACTGCCCACCCCACAACGCTCCCTCTCTCCAGCCCCAGTGTTGCTCAGCTACGTACCTGCTGACTGTCAGAGTCAGCTCATCTGCGCAACTCTTGATTTTGTTCTGTGCCTCAAGGTGTGTCATGTTGTCTGTGCTCACTCCATCAATGGCTATGATCTGGTCTCCTATACACAAGTTGGCTATTGCAGCTTTGCTGCCTGGAGTCACCTAAGAGAAAACAAAAAGAGTGAATGGACTTTCCAGGGAGGAGATTTCCATAGCAACCTTTGAAAAAGAGTTGGAGAAGTTGTGTTTTTTCCCACTGGTACCTGGAAGCAAACAAGTTAAAATAAATGAAAGTAAATTCTCAGCAGAAATCTATCTAGGTCTTTTAGACAGGGGATTTTGTTTTGGCACCCACAGACAGAAGTCTGGAGTGAACAACAGGTAAATAACAAAAATAGTATTTTCACTCAAGACAATTCTCATGCTAGAGAGCAAGATCATACAGAAAGCAATTATTTTCTTTCCTGGACGGAGAAGTGCTCTCTGAAACAGAAGGTGCTGAAGACAAACAGAAGTCCAAGTGTCTAAGAACAGAGGTGACAGAAAACACTATCAGAGTCATTGCAATACCAGTGCCAATCACAAACAGCTTTGCCTGCATTACAGTCTTGCTTGTTTTCTTCCTTGAAGGAAAGGTTTGGGCTCAAGATTTTGGATTGCTTCTTTAGTTGTAACAATATGGTTTTTCCTAGGAACAGGTACAACACACATTTACTGACTTCAGCAAGATCAGTCCCAAAGCAGTGTGTGATCTATGCAGAGTGGAAGGGAGAAAGGCAACAGAAACTTCATCTTTAAACCACAAGCTGCCAGTAGTGTCTGAAAAAGAAGAAGCACCAACCTCCCTGCCTGACCACAGCTCACCTTGGTACCTTCTGCCATGCTGCATCCCCCTTTCCTCTCCATGTGGTCCCAGACAGAAGACACTAAGCAGCAATGCCAACAGTATAACACTCCTCATGAAAAAGATCCCAGCTAAAACTTGGCATTTTCAAGCAAATCAGCGAAACAGCTTCTTCATTTCACATTACTTTTAAAGAAGTGTCCTCTTAACAACTGAGACCTCTTTGGGCCAAAATTATTGCCTGGGCAGAGGGTGAATAACATCATGTTTGTGTCTTTGCAAATACCATAGAAGATTTTGTGCAGTTTTAATGAGTTTGTGAAAGGAGTGTAATGATTTCTATGGGCTTTCTTCCATTATTTAATAGGCAGAGGAAATGAGAAGGGTGGACTGCTCCCAGACACGAGTACAGATTAAAACATGCCTTGCAGCTGAGACATACCTCATTTATGAGTCCATTGCAACTGGCATTCATTCTACACATTCATGCTAGGTTTCAGCATGCTGGAAAGCAGCTGAGCAAACCCAGCAGAGCTTTCAGACATAAATACCATTCACAAGATTTAGAGATCCCTCCTAACTAGGGTTTGGTTGGCAAATCATTGCCCCCAGGGCAACACTCCCCTCCTAGAGGTGTCACACATTCGCAGCAATCACTGTTTTCCCTGGGTCAAAGCTGAAGCTGTTCAGCCTATCTCCTCACAGCTGCAGTGGGCTATTTTCACCAACCAGAGGAAAAATCTCCAGATATTTTTCTTTTTTCACCTTTCTGCTAGGAAAGTATTTTATGGAAAAAGCAAGGACATAGATGTGGCTCACAGATGTCCAAGCTGACCAAGGTGCTCAATGTTAATCCAAAGAGCTTCAGATAAGTCAACCAACAGTGAATGTCTACCTGCACACCACTTTGAATGCTGCATGCAGCAGTCTCGGGACTGACAGAGGAAGTGCTGATAAAAATATCACACAAAGCACCAAATGGATACAGAAAATCTGATTTAAATGTGAAGATCATCACCTGCCAAGCTGCAGCCCTGAGCTGACCAGTGACCTACCAAGGCCATGGAGTGCAATCTGCAACCACTCCACTGGATTCAATGCCTTGACAGAACCTCCTGTAAACCCTGTGACAGAGTGTGTGGTTCAACCCAGCCATCAGCCAAGCCCTACTCAGCTGCTCACCCACTCCCCCACTTGCACAACCAGGGAGAGAATTGGGAGAGTAGAAGTGAAAAAACTTCTGGGTTGAGATACTGACAGTTTAATAGGGAAAGCAAAAGCCACACACACAAGCAAAGCGAAACATGGAGTTAATTCACTCCTTCCCACGGGCAGGCAGGTGTTCAGCCATGCTTAGGAGAACAGGGCTCCATCATGAGTAATGGTTACTTGGGAAGACAAACAACATAACTCCAAACATCTCCCTTTTCTCCCTCTCTTTGTTTACTGGGCATGATGTCATGTGGTCTGGAATACCCCTTTGGTCAGTTGGAGTCAGCTGTCCCAGCTGTGTCTCCTCTCAGCCTCCCATGCATTCCCAGACTCCTCACCAGCATAGCACTGCAAAAAGCAGAAAAGGCTTTGGCTCTGTGTAAGCCCTGCTCAGCATTAACAAAAACATCTCTGTATTATCAACCCCGTGCTCAGCACAAATCAAAAACACAGCCCCTCACCAGCCACTGTGAAGAAAACTAACTCTACCCCAGCCAAAACCAGCACAACTCTGAAGAAGTCCTAAGCACTGATAGCTGCCTATAGTCCCACCAGATCTGGGAGCTGTCATTATAAAAACCATAAGACATATCTCTACGGATATCATTATATCAAAAGGAGACTGCAGAAAACTCAGTGTGGGTCCTCTCCTGCTCTCTGGACCTTAACTGAGTCACTTGGTTTCTTTATTTCCTCTGCTACCAAAGAAGGAGAGAGACACATTACTCACCCTTGTAAGGAACACCAAGCTCAGTTACAGTGACCATGATTAATTTTCAATCAGACAAGCTGCCAAAGGGTCAAGAACAACAGTGGATTAACGCCAGCACTGGAACCCTGCTGGAGACTCAGCCATACAGATTGCATTTCAAGACTGATAATTATACAATATGTGATAGGCTGGTAGAAATTATGTGTATCACCAGGAACAGCTAAGCCACAGCAGTCAGGGACACTGAAATACTGAAGCCTACTGAAGAACCCCCAAGAGCTACTAGCAAGAGTAGCTGGCATTCACAGCGACATCTCAGTGTATTGCCAGTACTCGTGGTGTCAATTCCCTTCTGTATCCACTTCAGAGAAATTTGAAATGTGAGCACTATTCTCCATCAGATAAGAGCCACTGGTAGCACAAGGGCCATTCCATCCACTCAGCTACTCACATAATCCTCTCTCCTAAGGACAAGCTACAAGGTTGCACAAAAATAAAAGAGAAGCATATCTGCCAAAAGTAAACATGCTTTAAAATCCAGCTTCTTCACGTCTGGAAATAACTTGCCCTGAAATGCAACCTTGCACAGACTGCTGCCTACAACATCCAGCTCATATTGTCTGCCAGGACTGTTCACAGCAAACATGTCTGCACACGGGCAGGGTATGGAGGCAACCCATCCCCCACTCTTTTAGGATGATTTATAGCTACCAATAATGTTCCCTTCCCCCCTCACAGTAAGGTCTGGGATTATCTCAGTGCTGTCAAGCAAAAGGCGTTTCTGTTATTAAGTGAGGAGCACAGACCTGCCACTGTGACGTTTTTCTGCTTTTATTTTTGTCACATCCCTGCCTGGTCCATGGGAAGCAGCAGGGGCAGGCATGTGGCTGGAGGGAAAGCAGGCAGACGTGCTCAGAGCACTGGCAGCTATCAGCCAGCTTACACACAAGGACTCCAAAAATTAACAAATGCTTCAGACTAGCAAGGATCCAATAACTTTTGCACCTGAATCTGCTTTGCTCCTGCTCTCGGATGATCTAAAGCTTTGCCCCAGCCTCTCTTACCCTTCCCTCTTGACTGAGCACGAAGCAGAGACAGCAGGAGCCAAGGGAATGGGAGGCAGTGCCCTGCACAACTCGTACAGGTGGGTGACACGGTATTGAGCAGACAGAGCTGCACTTCTGCATGGATAGGTGAGAACGGCTGAAAGACTGCAAGGAACAAAACCAGAAAACACAACCTTGCACAAGTCACAGCTTGTGCAAAGGCATAGTCTCTTGTGTCCTTCAAAAGAGCTCCCTGACTTAGTTTGGGCTTCCTCCACTGGGGTTGAGCAGATGGGAACATGGGCAGACTCACCAGGCACCGGGAACCTTCCAGCTCCAGAGACACCATGCTTGGGTGAATAAAGCTCTGCACACCTTATAACATCATGCCCAAGGGCTTCCTTGAAAGGAGCCAGGCCCTACCTTGAGGTGATTGCTCCCAGGCAATTGGGTAACACTGCCATTAGACCATTTTGCTGCTGAACAGACAATGCCGAGACAGGCAGAGCAGCAATGATTCATACTGTGTCCAAAATAGGGCCCAGAGTGTGTTTATGGTGATGCTCTGTTTGGGTGGTGTTCTGTGCAAGAAATATGGGCTACTATAGAAATAGACCAGACACATCAAACTATGTCCTTGATACCAGCTCAGACACATGCACCAGCATGTGGAAGAAACAAATAATCCCCACAACTTGTGGGTTTGATTGTGCACTCTTTATTCATGCAAAACCCAATGTAGTAGATAACCATTAAGACCAGTTATAAGCTGTTTTTAAATAGAGGTCCCACAGATTCAGGATTGGCTTGGATAGAAGAAAAAACTACATTACTTTTTTACAGTACGAAGTGAAGCTTTGTGCACATGTGCCCCCTTGCACATACACTTTGGGCTCCACCTTGCCAACACCAGGACTTTGCAAAGCTCAGATGACCACCTCCCAGGCAGTTTGATTGCTACTATCTGCTTGCACTGGTGGCCAAGCAGCAAAGAAGGTACTAGGAAATAGTAACTCTTCAGAAAGTCTTTGGGCAAGTGCATTTACAATAGAAAACACTTTGATTTAGTAGCAGGAGAAACATTTGTCTGCTTATGCAGCTTTCAGGACTTCTTCATAAAACTTCTGTCTGTCCCAGAGCTTGCCAAACACAACCACATTTTATATTTGATGTAATTCCCTCCATACATGCTACCTAACAAGCTCTGCAGTCCCTGGACAGGGATATATGGTGCCTTTTTTCCTCCTGCAGGCAAGGATCCAAGAGGCAGCAGTGGGTATACTGAGGGAAGCTGCTACCCACAGCAAATGAGAGGGAGGAAGGGTGGGAAGCATTTTTATAAAAAGCA